AGAATTTTAAAAATATAAGAACATTTTTTTAAATGTAAGAATTTTGAAATGAAAGAGTTCCCAAATTCCTGGAATTAAATGACCGGTTCCCTCACAGCTGCTTGTTCTTCCCCCCACTTCAGCTTTTACTTGATTTCTGCTTGAATTTTGCTCATAGTTTTCGATCAGTAACAGAACCAAGTATGCTCGGACTTGTAACCATATAAGCAACCAGACTCTAGTTTCAGATAAGAAGCGTACGGGATATCATTGCTACCACACGAGAAAGTAAAATCCGATGGTCAGGACATGTTTTTCGCCTTAACAACAGCTGATATATCTTACGTATCAGCAAGTGGTATCCACGAAAAAGTTAAAAAAAAACAATAGTATAATCTCGGAAAAGATGGTGCACACACATCGAATAGATGATGGTGGGCACTAACTGAAGGTATGCTGCTTAGGATCGAAGGATTAAGCTACGTTCGTAAATCTCACAATATCACTTATACCGAATTCCCCAAACTGGCTGTCCGAACAATCTTGATAATCCAACAAATACGAAAACACAGTAAACTTATGCAAATTTCGTGGAAAAAGTTTAAGATTGTGCCCACCTTTTGGGCAAGTTGCTTTTTAATTTCATTAATTTCCACTTTCATTTTATCAGCTTCTTCCTTCAGCTTGTCTCTCCTCTCACGTGGTTCCACTTTGCTTTGTTTCAAAGAACATAACAGTCCAACAGTATCTTCTCTACCAACAATATCATCGATCTATAAAGAAACCCAGGTCAATATTAAGATTTGTTCTAAACAAAAAAATTGATTATAAGATATGTAATGAAAAAATCATGATTTTTTTGAAGCCCAGGAAGATAAGAAGTGACGTATACTGGCTGATGGCTGTTGTGAAAGAATTACGAGAGAGTCGGGGGGAATAGCAGATACGGAAGGAAATCGGATATCCCGGTGATGTAATGTGAACCCCACTTTTTATAATTGTTTTATCCGTAACAAAAGTCAAGACCTCTCCCGAATTCCCCCCCC